CTATTTTCCAGATTTTCCGGTTATAGTAGACTGTTTATTAATTATATCTTTTTATTAATTTAATATGGGGTGGCTTATTTTTTGAATCTGACTTTAAATTTTTAAAGTTCTTTTATTTTTTTTTGCAAATGATTTCTTTTTAATCGTATAATTAATATGACCATCTATATGTAAATAATAAATAAAAATAAGAGATTTGAAAAAAATGAAGTCCTCAGTTTGAATTTTCTCGAAGACGTTCGCGACGCGATGTATGTGCATATAAATGAATTATAAAGAGTGAGCAGCGGCAGCGGCGGCGGCTGCAGCAGCAAGTGGTTTCACGTGAACATACATTTTGAACGTGGGGAAAAACGCGCAAGGACGACAAGGACATGTGGAGCCAATGCTTGAAGTCATATTTTACGGAACAAATCGTACGTCGTCAAGCGCGGATTCCCGCGCCGCAACGGTGCAATACTTTACGAATGCGGAATAGTTTAACGCTTTGGCAAAAAATAAAAGCGGTAGAAATTTTATTTTATTTTTTTTTTCAAAGTGAGTATATATATGCGCGTGCGATATGTGTGCGCCTCCTGCGTGCCACAGCTAATGGCTCCCGCTCGACAAGCATCACACTGTGAGATAAGTCGTAAATATAATCAGCGGCTTTTTAAATGTTGTTAGACACACGCCTATTCGTTAAATTGCCCTCTCATGAAAGAGAGAGAGAGAGAGAAAGAGAGTGAGAGAAGAAAAAAAAAGTTCGGCGAACCCACGTGTATGCGTGCGATCAAGATTTTTCGCGGTTCCTTCAATTTCAATCATTTCTTTCGTCTAGTCATGAATCGCAAAGTTATATCTTCCACTAGCACGCGTTAAAAGAAGCCGGAAGAGACACTCCCTTTTCGGCGGCAGAATTCATTTGCAATATTATTAATCTTTCAACCTTTTTGATCTTCGCCTTTTTTCTCATTTCCCGTATTTAAGTTTGCGAGAAATGAGGAAATTATGACTGAGTTAATAAATTTCAGACAGCTATTGAATTTCTATTTTGGGAGCCAACCTTATACTCCCTAACATATAATAGCTGATTCATACCTTCTTCTTTTAAGTACAAAAAAATTGTTTCGTTACTGTAATTCTTGTATTTTTTTAAAATAAGTTCAGAACAATGCATTTTTCTTGTTTATTGATAAGAAAATCTTTATTTTTTGATATCTTAATGAATAGGGTCACAAAATTTTTAAAAACTCTTTTTTTTTAATAGGTTTAGAACAATGCATGTTCCTTGTTTCTTAATAAACAAATCTTTATTCTTTGATATCTTAATGAATAGGGTCAGAAAAAATTTTAAAAACCGAAAAATAACCAAAAAGGTCCGTAAATTTGATAAAAGTCCGTAAAAGTTAGTTTTTTTTGAAAAAATGGCAGTAAAGTCCGTAATTTGGTTAAAAAAGTACGAAAAATTCGTAAATTGTACGATCGTATTCTGCACAGTTCATGGAAAAAAATTAAATTTTAGAGAAGTTATAAAAATGATTACAGAAATTTAATTATTTTCATAAATAATAAAAATTTCACAAGAATTCAAATATTTATAAATTTTTTATAAACTTCTTCGCAACAATTTCATTATTTTCACAAATAATAAAATTTTGTATAGAGATTCAATTCTTTCCATAAATAATAAAACTCTTTTTAGAAATTGAATTATTTTCATTAATAAAGAAAATCATCGCAAAATTTCAATTATTTTTAATAAATTTTTAATCGAATTCCTTGAGAAATGTAATTATTCTTAAAAATTTTATTAAAATTCATCGAAAGATTTCAATTATTTAAAATGTTTTTGATAAAATTCTTTATGAGATTTCAATTTTAGGAAACATTTAATTATTCAATAAATTATTTAAATTTTTATTTAAATAATTGAATTTTCATAGAAGTTTTTAATAAAAATTGATTTAAATATCAGTTTTAGTTAAAATTTCAGATAAGGGGCATTTAATTATTTTCATAAATAATAAAAATTTCACTGGAATTCAATTATTTATAAATTTTTTACTTTCTTTGCAATATTTCAATTATTTTCATCAATAATAACATTCTTTTAAAAAATTGAAATTGAAGTTAAAAAATTTTTCAAATAAAAATCTTTTAAAATTTAAATTTTTCTTACTTTTAACTGTTATTTTGTTTTGAAAAAGTTTAATGGAATTTTTTTAAAATTATTTCATATTTTTATTTTCTAATATATATTTAATTGAAGAATTTGCGAATAATCGAAATTTCATCTAAAATTGAGTTGTAAACAAATAGATTTGTAAATTCTTAAAAAGAACTTTAAAAAAAAATTATTAAAAATAATTTATTTAAAGAAGAATTTTAGTTAATAATTCTAAAAAATATTAATATAATTAAAGTGATGATAATGATTTTGATGTTTTCGAATAATTTTACAATTAATGAAATTCGCTAGTAAGTAATACAACATTTTTTATGAGTATTTAATAATTTTTAAAGTGAATCAGAATATTCTTTAATCTTTAGTGATTACTGTCAGGGAAAAAGTCAAAATTTTGTCTGAAAATCCGGTAAAAATCATGGAAAAACAAAAGCTTCATTTACAGTTTTTTTGGTCCATAAAGTCCGTATTTTTAAATACTTTCACTATTTCGAGCCCTGCATACATCACTTGACTTTGGTGCGTGAACTCCGCAGGGAGTAAATTCAAAGGTGTAAAATTTCCACCTCCCGTAGATTTCACTCCTGCTTTAACTTCCTTTCCCATTTTTCTCCTTTTTTTTTGAAAAGTTGAATCGATAACTTCTCTTTTTTTAAGAAATATTCCATTTTACATAAGTAATGGTGTGTTAAACAATTTATCAAGAAGCTTAATTCTTTTTTTTCTTTTCCATGTTTTTAATTACGAAACGTGTCGTAACCACTTCATCCTTAGAGGCAATTATATCGTGTCATACATTTAAGATACACTTGTTAATGCGAAATTCCAACAACAATTTTCAGTTATAAAATTGGCCTTATGGACTTACAGAGTAGGACGAGTTCGATTCATAATTTCCTGAATCATGATTGAAAACTAGTACCGTGATATCTCTGCTAGATCATATATAGATCGATCATCCATGTTACGAAAGATAGAAAAGGGGTGGGGGAGAGTAGAGAGAGTGTGAGTGTATGTAGAACCTGTATTACTTGATGGTGGAAGAATCGCGAGCGGAAATAATCAGGGGTGGCGCACCCCAACCACTGTGGGCGTGGAGACTGGAAAATGAAAATTAATCGCGAGTCTGCAGACTACTCGTTTCCAAAGTAGCCACACAATTTTCTATATGCGAGCAGGGGAAAAAAAGAGAGAGAAAAATAAATAACTCGCTTTATTAACGTAAAACCATATCGATAATTTCAAGTTCAACTGAGGTCAAGAATTTCAAATATTCTTTTCTTTACTAAAATAATTAACAAAAAATGAAGAAATGATTATATTTTCTGTATTTCAATTTTTTTACTATTTTAGAAAAATGGAAATATTTTAGTATGTCAAGCAACGGATGTTAAGTGATACTTTAGTAACTCGTTAAACTGTTTGTTAAATACATTTACTAAGCAACAGTTGTTTAGAAATAGTTCCTAAGTATCTACTCGTTACCAACTGTTGCTGAGTAACAGATTCTATTAGTACTCCGATGTTGCGATTTATACAATTAACTATTGCTGAGTACCGTTGCTATAGACAATAATTTCTTTGTTCAGCAACGATTGCTACATAATTTTTTATTCTTTTAATTTTAAATTTAAAAAAATGCTAGCAAACATTGCTAAACAAAATTTTTACTATAATTACTATTTTGATTATGTATTTACTACACTGAAAAAAAAATTTATTTGATTCACATAACCGATTACTTGACTATTATCAATTAAATATTTAATTGGATCAAATAATATTTATTGAAGTCAATTAAATGGTATTTGAACTAACAATTTCAGTATTTGAAGCAAATACCATTTAATTGACTCCAATAAATATTATTTGATTCAAGTAAATATTTTATTGATAATAGTCCATTAATCGGTTATTTGAATCAAATAAATTTTTTTTTTCAAATAATTTTTTTTTTTCATATATTAACTGTTGCTCATAGTATAATTGCTAGACAAAAATCTCGTTTAGCAACGATTTTTAGTAATAGATTAATTACAACAGTTGTTAAAAAACTACTCAGTAATTATTTACAAGCAAATTTATTTGCTATCAAAAATAAAATAAATTAAAAAATAAAAAAAAATTTTAAATAAAATAAAATTTTATGAAGAGTTTTAGATCAAAAAGAATTTTGTCTAGCAACCGTTGCTTAAAAAAGAGATTTTTGTCCAGCAATGGACATAGTTCAATTAAAATTTTTATTATCAAACTTTTTGAAGAAGCAATTTTTTTAGCCATCGTTGTTAAATAAAAAGAATTTAGTCTAGCAACGTTGCTAGAGAAAATTATTTTTATTCAGCAACGATTGCTAAAAAATTGTTTCTACAAAAATTCAATAGTTTTGTAGTAACAAATGTTAACATTTTGAGTTATGTCAAGAGTTGATAAGGAACAATTAAATAAAAATCGAATCAAAAATTTTCTTGCATAGCAACAGTTTCTAGATAAAATTTTTTTATAGCAAGTTCCAGTGATTTTTAACTGAATCAAATTCAGAGAGTGAATAAATAAATTAATAAATATTAAAATTGAATAATTATGAATAAATATTTATTGAATAAATATTAATGGTATTCTGTTGAGGAAAATTTTCTCTTTTACTGAATTCAACCTACTTTGCATTTGAATTATATTTTTATTATAAAGATAAAAAGAACAAGTTTTTTTTATCTATTCTTTCCTCATTTCTTACGTTAAGGACATTATTTTTATCAAAGTATTGATTATTTTTACTGTAAACGGTTTTTGTAGGTATATAATACAATTTTCGTTTATTTGTCAAACCATTTCTTCTTTCGTTATTTTGAGTGTATATTTTTTAATTTTATTACTTTTTTTTATATTGAATTAAAAACAATTTTTCAAATTATTTAAACATCTAAAGTTTAAAAATGAAATTGTCCATAATTGTCGCCTCTTCACTGGTTTGTGAGTATATAATTCATTTGCTCATTCTGCTTTTATTACTTGACATTCATACAAAGTCTCTTTAAAAATTGCACATTTTGCGGAAATGTTTTTGATATACATAATATAAACTCTTGTTATATCGTTTTGAAACGTTATTACAGATTTCTCGGTATGTGTTTTCACTCAGGAATTTATAGGACCTTTAGAGAATGTTCTCAAAGAAAAATTAAATCTGTCTGCTGAAGATTTCATGAAAAAGTGTCAATCAAAATCGTTAATTATTGTTGATAAATTAATGGCAAGTCGTAGTGGGGCTAAAATTATTGGCAATGCCTTAGCAAACGATATTCTTCATCGTGTACAATCATCGACAATGCCCAATGAACAAACTTGGAAGAGAGTTGTTAAAGAACGTTGCTCTACAAATTCGGTGCTTAAAGTTTTGTCCCTATTGAGTGTCGACACTGTAAATTTATGTTTGGATGACGGTGAAAAATTATCTGGTGATAAAAGAATCGATTTTGGTCGTGCACTTACCAGGGGATATTGTGTTGCGGCAAAAAAATTGTAAGTCTCGACAAATTGAATTATCAAAAATAATTGTTGGAAAATAATTTTGATACTAATTTTCTATTATAATTTTTGCAGAGCCAAGGAGAAGAGCAAAGCTCAACATCCAAAATGAATTCATAATTTTTATTGATTATAAATTATAATAAATACTGAGAATACCTTGTTAATTTTATTATTTAATAATTTCTATATTTCAACTATATGCGGTTTGTATAGAAAACCAAAATAAATAAAAATGAAACAAAATAGATGAAGTAAAATTAAATAAAAAATGTTTTGTTTTGTATATTTTATATTTTATCAAAAATTGGAATTGAGAATATGTAATCGAACGATTGTGTAAAAGTAACGAAGAGAGTAGTTTAGTATTGTGAAAGAAGAAAAACACTGAACAGCAAAAGTTTCGTGGAAGAAAGTCGACTTTATTGTATAATAATAAAGTATCGTGAGAAAATCGGAGACAATTCAAAAAAAAAAAATATCACGACGACAAGTTTACTTTTATCATTATTTATTACAATTTATTTTGATACATCATTTTCACTTTTCTATGATGGACATAGCATTATTTATTATTGTAATTCATCATCATGTGGTCACTCACATATGTAGTAACTCAACTCTTCTCTCGCTAATTTTGTATAGGGCCTTCTCATTCTTTGATGAATCGAAGGTGTGATGTACTATATATATTATATACATACATTATATATTTTTATACATGTATATATTTATGTATATACATATATATATTTATAAAATGTATGTAGTATACATTATCCTCGATGCTCATCATTCCTATCAGATATGATAAGAATATAATCAACAATTCAATAGCATTGCGTGCACGTCTACCAACTATCAATCTTTATTACACCATGTATTATATTCGTTTCTCAAAACTCAAATATCAATTCACTCTGGCACCTTAAAAACATCAATTTATCTTCAATTTTTCCCTCCATATTTCATTATTGTGTTAACGATGCGCCTCTTGTAATGCCTGCAAATTATTTCTTCGAAATTTTAAATGCATACATTGAAAATATAAAGTTTATTAAAAAGGATGAATTTTTATTTTTACAATGCAAAATTCAGTTTTACTTTAATATTTATACTGTTCTCTAAATTTCAATTATTATTATTATTATTATTATTATTATTATTATTATTATTATTTTATTGTTATTACTATTTTTATAATTATTATTAATATAATTATTGTTATTATTAGCCAATATTATTATTCAACAATAATAATTAATTTTCGGTTACATTATGCAAGACGAAAGTTAATTGCAAGTTGGGAGACGAACAACAAAAGTTGTTCAAAAGAAAATTCTTGCAAACTGGTCTGCAGTTGAAGGGCAGTATAGTTTTTTTGAAAGAAGGGTTATTGGATAAGTCTGGGGGGTAAAACCTTTACTGCCTCGCAGCCCGTAAAGTACTCAAAAACAGTGCGCAAACCGATTCGTCCGAGAGCGAGTTTCTTTTTCCACGATATTTTTACGACACCTGCCAGTCTCTCAGTCAGAGGTGAAATCGATTTTGTACGGAATTGGTGATATGGTTTATAGGCTTATTATTCCAAACCCCCACATTTATATATATTCATGCATTATACATATGCAACATTTTAAAATTATTCTCTAATTCAAATTTTCACCGTATATTCTCTCTAAAATTTGAACTAGTGACTGACATTTTGCTTTTGGATTAGTAAATTTTACTAACAAATAGTCATTTCTACTAAATTAGTAAAATTTACTGATTCGAAAGCAAAAAGTCAGGTATTAATTCAAATTAGTGTCCAGGCGTCCAGTCTGACGATTTCTGACGATAATGGTCGTCAGCAACAGCAGTGGATAAAAAAACACTAGAAAAACATTATTTTATTCAAATAATCAACGTCCCTAAAAACCTCTAAGAACATATTTGGTTTTTAAAAATTCCCTTCTTCCTTTCCCGGAGCATTAAGGGGTTAAATAAAAAATTATTTGATTTAAATAAATATTTATTTGATTATAGAAAAGTAATCGGTTATTTGAATCACATAAATTAATTTTTAATATAAAATTGTAGCGAGCGTCTTAGTAGAAAATAGGAAAACTTGCTGAACCCTTGATAAAGTTTTATAAAACAAAAAAAAACTTTCACACTGGGTGAAAAAATTTCTTTCACGAGTTTCAGATAATTTTATGTTGAGAAATTTATTTCTTAAAAAAATGTACGACACTTGTTAGTGATCCAAAACGAAAAAGAACACTTTTTTTTTATAATGCAAGCGGTTTCGAAATTGGATTTTTTGAATTTAAGGGGAATTTTTTGGACTTTGCTACCTGACAATGCATGTATATATATGCGTACATACGGGGTCGAAGTCAAAGGGTTTGCGAGTAGCAGGCTGGCACATTTCACACGTGTCAATCGGTTCAAGATTTACTGTCGTTCGGTCTTAGGTATATAGAGGTGTACGTTCCTTAGTTCGCTTGCTTGTCTTTTCCCTCTTTTGCTTCGTAAATCATTCCCGCGTATATTTCTCAAATACCTTTTTGAACAACGAATACGACGCAGAAAAAAAAGAAAAATTCGTTCGGACCCATATACGACCTATTGGCCTTTAGCACATTTTTTTAAAAAAATATGCTCTTGTTTTTTTTCTCTTTCTCTCTCTCTCTCTCTCTCCCTCGAAAAAAGGAAATTTTTACCTTATTCAAACTTCAAAAATTGCATTTTTAAATTAAAAATAATGTATTCGATCATTTTTTTGTTATGAAATGAACAAAAAGAATTTCAACTGATTGGGAAAAAAGGGGAAATATAAAAAAAAGATGTATTTTTTCAAAGGTAAAAAATATTAGGAAAAAGATTTTCTATCGTTTCAAAAATGCTTTGTTCTAGTATATACGCTTTTGAATGAGGAATATTTGTGTCCAAAACGGAAAGTTAACTGGAAACCAAATCGTTCATCCGGAAGCTTCGTTTGTCGAACGAGCGAGAGGAGCGCTTGCATTATTCATAACTAATTCCGGAATATACTGAACTTGATGCGGAGACTTTATTCTTTAAACTCTCCGCTCAAAATCTTTAATTTTGTAGGGTAGGAATACACTAAATTTATTTTTATTTCAACGCTTTTAAAGGGGTAACTTAACTTCAGACTATAAATTAAAAAAAGTGAATACTATTATTTCTCATAAAAAAATCATTAAACACTAAACTGTTAATTTAAATGTTTGGTAAAGTATGGTAACAGCTAAAACTAATTTTTGTAAAATGTAGTTTTTCTGCTATTAATAATTTTTTACTGGTAAAAGTTTACTAACAATCGTTCTTCGCCACTAAAAAGAGAAAAGTAGAAAAGTAAAAGGAAGGAGACAATAAGAGAACTCAATTCTTGTCTGATAAATCATGATCTACTCCTGCGCGTATATATGCGTATAAAGAAAAGAAATCCGATTACAAGAGCTTAGAACCGTTGACTCGTTAAAAAATTTATATTCATGTTTTACATTCATTCGACATATCAGTTCTGAAGATTATAATTTGTATTTTACAATCACGAAGGCCCCCAAAATAAGAAACCAATTTATATTTTTATCCACTAGGGAAATTTCTTATCCTAATAATTTTATTATTGTTTTAATAGATAGGATAAAAGAAGAGTAAGGCAAAAAATTTTTTTTGTCGATAAATAGCAATGATTAGTACTGGTAGAGGAAAAAAAGTGGTTATTGGAAAGGGGGAATAAAAAAAAAGTATGTCAAGGAGTACGCGAGAGCGATTCGCTATTATGGAATCTCTGTCTCTCATGGGGATAAAAGATTGACGAACAACTGACATATTGGTGCAATAAGGCTTGTTGACTTTAGTCGCAATCCTCTTTGTCGGTATTTTGCTAACTTTAGCGAAAGATTATTTTATTTCCAGAAAAGAAAACTGAGACTGCTTTTTTCTTCTTCGTCTCTCTCTCTAATTTTACTTCCTTTAACTCCCCATACATAAACGCAGGCAAGTCAGAAAGTGAGTGAGCTCCTAATAGCTAATAGCATTTTCTTCGCGACTGTCAGGCCTGCCAGTGCCAGGAGAGCGTGGGACATCGAGTGAAGTAAAACAGCGCAAGAAACGCGACCGACGGCAATCGTAAAATAAATCACATCTTTGATCTATATTAGGCTGGGCGCGGTTTCTTCCTTCCTTCCTTCCTCCCATCCATCCACCGAGCTTTCGTTTCAAGGTGTTCAAAGATCCCATTAAAAAAGCAAACTTTTCTCGCCATAAGACTCAAAGTGCCACGAATGTTGCTATGTAGAAACGAATTTCAATCACGTTTTTTGACTTTGATGATGTTCTTGATTTACGGTTTCTTGGCGGTTCGAAAAGAGGAAATAAGGTATTTAAATTAAAAATGGAACCGTTTAGAAATTAATTGTACCATTGATTGACTGCTTTTGCATTTTATTTAAGTTCTTGAAGTTAGCGTCGAAAACTATCATTTTCAGATTTTAGGTATAATGTCCTTCGTCCTTTATCTCATAGAGGATGAAGTTCCTTTAAAAAACCAGTGAACTTTTTAACCTAGAAACTAAAACTTTTTGATCTACAATAAAAAACTTTAATTCTTGCAGCCTTTTCGAACGGTTGTTGACAACTTTAGGGAGCAGCGTATAAAAAGAGATAGAGAGAAAGAGAATTTTGAGCGAAAATCGGAAGAATGATCTGGACATAATATGGACAAGTCATAAGGCAGGAGGTCTGTGAAGTTGAAGACGACTCAAGTCGTTATCTACGGCAAAGCAATCGCCGCGGTGGAAACTCGACACGGGCACATTCACTAATGCCAACCCTAGGTCCAGGACCAATTAATACGTGTCCATTCAAAACGCGAGCGAGCCCATTGCATGCGACCGCACACCCGGTGGATCCGTTCACCACGTGTGTTGTGTGCCTGTGTACGTATACATGGCGTATAGTAGTGAAAAGGGTAGTCCACTATGAGCATAAGCAAGTAGCCCACGACAATAAGCAGGGAAACGTTTTATTAATTGACGAGATCTGTCAGTGTCTCCCTCGGTTGCCATATTAAATGCCCCCGACTACTGCTGACTGAAACTGAGCTGGTATGTGTAGCATACATACTGGTTTATACGTAAATTCTATCTAGTATGTATATCCACACTAGCTAGTATGTATGTACACACTAGCTCAGTTTCAGTCATACATACGTACACAGGATCCGTAACGCT